AGGTGTTCTGTTCTGCCTTTGTAGTTTTTCTTTACATCTTAAACTTGTCCGTCCAAGAGGTTATTGGCAAACCAAACAGTACCAAATCGTGGCTATCCACATGCAAAGATTTCTGAAAGATTATGCAGTGGCTCAAGTACTTGGGTCTCCCTGGCAGCCTTGGCTTTCCTCTGAAGGATGGTGGCAGGTGGCAAGGGCTGCGTGTCATTCCGAGATGCCAGGGCACCGTGGTCGCCCGCATGTCCTGCTCCTAGCTAGAAGCATGGGGAAACCTCCACCAGCGCCTGCTGATTGCAGGGTAGAGACTGGTTTAAAATAAATGTGCTTTTATTACATTGTGGTCCATGTCTGAACTTCAGCTAAAGCTGACAAATTGTTGCATGCTGTTTGAGGACTGAGTTACCAGGACAGTGATTTTCAGGCATTTCTATGGAAATAGGTGCTTTGTAAGTGTGTAGGCTGCTCCAAAACAGTTTGTGCCCAGAGATCTTAAGTACTGTCGCCCTGGTGTCCCCATGTTGTTCTCTGGCACCCCCTCAGATGAGAGGGCTTTCCTAAGTTGAGATAAACTTCAGCCTCTAACTGACTTAACTCGTTACTGATTCATGGGGCACTGGAACACAGGTGCCTGAGGTTTGGGGTCAGCTGACCTTGGAGCTCAGCTTTTCCCTGGAGACCATGTCCCTGTTCTTGAAGGCATTTGCCTGCCAATCAAATGGTGTGAACAGAATGCGTCGGGGGCCAGGCACCCAGGTCCACGAGACAGCCAAGGTTGCACTGTGGGAACTTTGAGTGTGCCAGGAGAGGGCCAAGAGTGATCGTGGCGGAGTTCTGGCCAGGGAAACGTGGGAAGGGTTTCCGGAAACACTGGGTCACTGAGTTGAGATGTGAATCGGAATTAGCAAAAACGCAGAGGGAAAAAAAGAGAAAAGGAGAGGAAAAAGGAGGCAGGTGGGCAGTGGGTTGGAGACAGCCAGCTTCGTAGGCGGGAAGAGCAGGTGCCATGCTGTGTGTGGATGCCCAAGCTGAGGTTCTGCAGGAGAGTGTCCTGAGACTCGTGAGAGGGCTGCGTGGTTCCAAGCAGTCAGAGTGTGACCTTGAAGGTGACAGATGTGGAAGGCCATGAGGGTGTTTCCTGTCCTCCAGTGCTGTGGGGAGGAGGTACTGGGGCTGGCCCTGGAGTGGTCTCAGTAGGCAGCTCCCGTGGTCATGTTGGGCAGGAGGTCCTTGTGGCTCCGTGGAAGAGGAATCCATGGGACTTGGTCGCGTGGGTTTGGCAGCTAAGAAAGAGTGGAAGGCTTCTGGTGTGGCTGCCTGGACGCTCTTCACTGCGTGACACGGTACCTGTCTCTCCACGGATGTATGGGGAGACGCAGGGTTGGGGTGAACCTGGGGTCGTCCACTTGACAATCTGCCGAGCTGGGTGCACAGGTGTGACGCCCATTTTTTTCAGCTGCGGAAGTTGAGGCTCAGAAGTTCCTAGGTTAGGAAGTGTATGAGCCAGAATCCACCCCCAGCCTTGTGAGTGTAAATTCAGTGCTCTTTCCTTGAAATGCAGCACCGGATTTAGAGTGTGTGTGTTAACAGGTGTGTGTTTACTCCCCGGAACTCTGTATTACCGTCATTAGTTGGTACTGTGTCAAGTAGCGTGGCATTGGAGTAAATGGATTTTACCATTTTGGTGCAGAACCTTTTTTTTTTCCACCTTGAGTCTGTAGTGACTTGACAAGTACCTGTCCAAGTGTCCTAGTCTTATCATATTGGTTTTTCTTTTCGTTTTTTATTTGAAAGGCGGATATACAGAGATGAGGAGAGACAGAGAGGAAGATCTTCCATCCGATGGTTCACTCCCCAAGCGGCTGCAACTGCTGGAGCTGAGCCGATCTGAAGCCAGGAGCTCTTCCGGTTCTCCCACACAGGTGCAGGGTCCCAGTGCTTTGGGCCATCCTGCACTGCTTTCCCAGGCCACAAGCAGGGAGCTGGATGGGAAGCGGGGCCACTGGGATTAGAACCAGTGGGATGCAAGGCGAGGATTTTAACCACTACACTATTGCGCTTGGCCTTCATTTCAGTTTTTCTCTGAACGTAACACTTGAGTAACAGGTGCATGTCTACACTGCCAAACTGCTGGAAATAGATGACTTTGTTTTGCTCTGCCACATCCTGGAACTCCTGACTCCTCAGTGGAAAAAGGGAGCCACTCACAGCCTGCGGGGTGACCATGGCTGCCTTGTGACCTGATGAATAGGGACTGGGAGTTGGCCTCCGGTCCCCACACTGGGCACAGTGCCCAGAGGCCACACTCTGCAGGAGCCCAGGAAAATATGTGAATTCTTTTAGACATCATGAGAATCAGCGTCTAGACCAAAGGAGGGGTTTCGCTATGTGACACTAACATGTTTGCCTGTGATGTGTTCCTGAAGTGTGCTTTTCACTTACGGAAAAAGTTGGCAGGGGTCCTGGAGGCTGGGGTGGGGGTGGGGGTGGGGCAGCCTCCTGAGTGTGTGTGTATGAGGTCGTGGGAAAAGCGTGGCAGGCAACCTTCTAATCTGCCTCCACTTCTTTTTTTTTTTTTTTTTAAGATGTATTTATTTTTATTGGGGAGACAGATTTACAGAGAGAAGCAGATACAGAAAGATCTTTTGTCTGCTGGTTCACTGCCCGAGTGGCCACAACAGCCAGAGCTGAGCCAGTCCAAAACCAGGAGCCAGGAGTTTCTTCCAGGTCTCCCACACAGGTGCAGGGTCCTAAGCCTTCGGGGTCTACCTCTACTGCTTTCGTAGGCCACAAGTGGGGAGCTGAATGGGAAGTGGAGCAACCAAGATAAGAACTGACACCCGTATGGGATCCTGGTGCTTGCAAGGCGAGAATTTAGCCACTAGGCTGTCGCGTGGGGCTCCACCTCTACTTCTAGTTTGTCTTTTCTGTTCATTGATTTGTTGATTTGTTCATTTGATTCATTCAGAGAATTGCGGGTGTGGGAATAATACAACTAGAGACTTCTACACGCATACACCACACACATGCACACCACACCCCACCACACAAACATATACACACAACACCATATACACCTCTCACATCACGCATGCTATATAGACACACACAGTGCACACACCCACAACCATACATAGCACACACACACCTACACATGCCATGCATGCCGCACACATGGGCAGGCACACACACCACACATACCTTCCTCACGTACATAAGCACATCACACACACACAGACCACACCTATAAGCACACACCACACACATTACACACATCTGACAGGGACAGGACGGGGGTACCAGGCAGAGACCAAGGGCGGAGTCCCCGCTCCCCGCGTCTGGCTCCTGTCGGCCTCTCTGGACAAGGTCTGCTTCTTCCCTGGCCCAGCTCTGCTGTGTAACGGGAGGGTATCGCACACACCTCGCTTTAACTGCTGGGTAATAGTCGCTTGTGTAGTCAGAACATGCTTTTAAGGACTCGTTGCCAGAGGCGTTGGAGCATCGCTCTGTCGTTACCTCCTTTTTATCTTGTCTCTGTCTCCTAAATGATTTTTAAAATACGCCCAGTGCAGGGTTAACTCTAAGAGCCCATGGAAGTCTCTGGAAGGATTCCCTCATGGTGCCTGCCTCCTGGGGTCCCAGCTGCCAGAGCCAAGAGCCATGCGGTGGTGGGGATTGGAAGCCCCCCCTGGCAGCCGGTGGTGGGGCTCAGAAGTCAGTAGACCTACAGTAAACCCACTACCAAGCTGCTCAAGTTGTGTACTGGCTTCAGAATGGTGTCACTCATCTCCAAAAGAACCTTGGCAGAAAAAAAAGTCCCCCTCTCTCCAGAAGGCGAAGCTTGATGGGTGATAAGAGCCATTCTTGGAGGATGTGGGTTTGTGAGAGAAAACCCCTGTGCTCTGAGAGACCCCTTGGAGCTGCAGCAGAGCTGGGGCGGGGGGTGGCGCTGCGCTTCCTGGAAAGCCTGGCCTGTCTCTGCCCTGGCACACTTTGTCATTCACACCCCCTCCGTCCCCTGCCGCACCCAGCAAGTCTGTACGGTAGGCTCCCCGCCCCACCAGCAGCACACACTGCAACTATTGAAAACTGAGTTTCAATAGCAGGTTTGCTATCATCCAGTGATTAATCGTGCTCTAAAAGTGATCATGGCCAGCACGGCACCTCTCCCTTTCTTTCTCTCTCTTTCTTTCTTTCTTTCTTTCTTTCTTTCTTTCTTTCTTTCTTTCTTTCTTTCTTTCTTTCTTTCTTCCTTCCTTCCTTCCTTCCTTCCTTCCTTTCTTTTCTGTACATATTTTCAAACTAACCCTGTTTAGAAAAGAGAACGTTCTGGAAGGCATTGTATTTTAACTTTTACCCCATATTTCCTATTCTTGTTGTTTTTCCAAAGGAACCTAAGACGCTTCCCGTGCGGTATCTCTTTCACGGACAGCACAGGGATTTCTAAAGATGAAGTTAGCTCTTGAAAGGATTGTGTCAGAGAATGCTGCCCTTGCCAGGAGCAGGCTGTCAGTGCCCGCTCGCACCCAGGCTCGGCCGCCACTGCCGACTTCACACCTGATCTTCGCTGCCCTTGTCTTTGCGTGTTAGGATACAGTTTAACAGGCCACGCTTGAACTTGCAATTTACAGAGACAAAACAGGAAGTGGTTGTACCCCGATCTCACCCACCCCCATGGCTGCAAATATTCAAGAAAAGGGTGAAGCCGTTTTTCACGGTTTGAGCTGAGCTGTCTTCCTTGTGCTCGGATAAGCTGTAGGATGGCCTCCAAGGGCACATTCGGTTTTGTTTTGGATCGTTTTAGAAATTCCGTGGTGTCAGAAGTGTGTTTTTTCCAGTCTTGCTCGTGGTGCCTGATTCACGCTCATCACTTCTTGTTTTTAAAGGGTTACAGGCACGCTGGCCAAAGCACATTTCAGTTTTGAGCTCGAGTGGTCGTTCCCGCGGCCCCACTCAGCTCGGCTCGTGCCTCTGAAGCCTCTCTCCCCGTGATGCCCTTACAGGAGTTCGTGAGTGTCTGGGTCCGGGACCCCAGGATCCAGAAGGAGGATTTCTGGCACTCTTACATTGACTACGAGATCTGCATCCATGTGAGTATGAACCTGCTGGGCACCGGCAGCCACAGGCACGGTGGGGGTGGAGGACACACGGCCACTGGGGACCTGGCATTGGGCACCGGCAGCCTCAGGCACAGTAGGGGTGGAGGACGCATGGTCACTGGGGATCTGGCATTGGGCACTGGCAGCCGCAGGCGTGGTGTGGGTGGAGGACACACGGCCACTGGGGACCTGGCATTGGGCACCGGCAGCCTCAGGCACGGTGGGGGTGGAGAACACACGGCCACTGGGGACCTGGCATTGGGCACTGGCAGCCTCAGGCGCGGTGGGGGTGGAGGACGACCCACCACTGGGGACCTGGTATTGGGCACCGGCAGCCGCAGGCGCACTGGGGGTGGAGGACACACGGCCGCTGGGGACCTGGCATTGGGATTCTTAAGTTTTTTCTAATTCAAAGAACTGAATCTGAACGATGAATGTTTGTATTTCTAAAGTTTAAACATGACCTATTTGAATTCTGGATTCTACCTTCATTCCTATGAATGATTCAGTATTTGTTGTTTTGCTGTATGAAGATGCAAAAAGGTCTAGAAAGTCTTTTTTTAAGATATATATATATTTAAATTTGAAAAGCAGAGTTACAGAGCCAAGGAGAGACAGAAAGAGATCTTCTGTCCACTGAATCACTCCTCAAGTGGACACAACGGCTGGAGATGAGCCGATCCGAAGCCAGGAGCCAGGAGCTTCCTCCTGGTCTGCCACATGGGTGTGGGGACTTTTCCAGGCTCTAAGAAGTGAGCTGGGTGCTTAGCCTACTACGTTGTGGCACCAGCCCTTGGAAAGTCTGGCTCATTCATGGTATGTCTTTGTGGTGTTTCTGGGTGGCACGTTGCCTTGTGACCTCAAGGTTTTGAGAGGATGTGGAGTTCCTTGAAGAGAAGGCAGGCACAGACTCAGGGATGGGGGCAGGAAGCAGTGACTGAGCGCACCGAATCGACCCTGGCCTAGATTCAGGGGGATTCACAGGAGGGGTCAGCACCTAGAAGCGACACATGGGATTCGGAAACGAGACCCTGCTACCCCTCCTGGAGAGTGAGCGGCCTGTGGGCACCCAGGATGGTTTTGAACGAGAAGCAGCGGGCATTTCCTTGAGGGGCCAGGTCGTGGGCTGTGTCAGCCTTGAGGCCCATGGAGCCTCTGTCGCAGACTCCCCGTTTCTGGCAGCTGTGGCCAGAAGCAGCCCGTGCGTGTGACTGTACCCAGTGCGTCTTTGTCTGCGCCGGCAGAGCACCGGCTTGGCCTGACCCAGGCAGCCGGCGTCTGTTGGCCCCTAATCATGAGGATCCCAAGTTTGCTCATTGGGTTTCATCTGGATTTCCTCATGAGGGCATGGAACCAGGCTGCCCAGCACAAGGGAAAGTGAAACTGTGTGTGTGTGTGCCCTCTTCCTAGTGCCAACTGCTAATGTTGGCATTTTGGACACCCTGACGCTTTCTCCTTTTTGCTCCCCATCTTCCCTTCTCCTTACCCTATCCCACCTCCAGTTCAGCAAGTCAATCAGGACACCCAGAGCTGCTTGTTTGGTGGCTGGGAATAGGCTGATGCCAGGATATGGTATCTCTGAGTTTTGTTTTGGTTTTACTTTTCGAGTTTACACTAGAAGGTGTATTCTGAGCATATAAGCATAAGCATTGGACCCAAAATGATTCCTTCGTTCCCTTTTTAAAAAAAGATTTATTTATTTTTATTACAAAGTCAGATATACAGAGAGGCGGAGAGACAGAGAGGAAGATCTTCCGTCGGATGATTCACTCCCCAAGTGGCTGCAACTGCTGGAGCTGTGTGATCCGAAGCCAGGAGCCAGTGCCTCTTCCGGGTCTCCCACACGGGTGCAGGATCCCAAGGTTTTGGGCCATCCTTAACTGCTTTCCCAGGCCACAAGCAGCGAATGGGATGGGAAGCAGAGCCGGTGGGATTAGAAGCATTACCCATATGGGATCCCTGTGTGGGCAAGGCGAGGACTTTAGCTACCAGGCTATTGCGCTGAGCCCCTTAGTTCCCTTTTAAAACTTCCTCTTGAAGTGTTTTGAGTCTTCGGCACACACTTTCCAGTAAACACGAGGTTTAATTACCTTCAGGAAGTAATCAAGGTGTAGGTTCTACCCTGCCACTGGAATACCAGGGTGCTACAGGAAGTTCATGGAAAATGGAATTAAAAGGTAAGTTCCTCGTGGTACGGTGCCTCATTTATTATAGATGTGTGTTGTTGTTGCACACTCCGAAGGACACTCGCAGGGAGCCACGTGACCTGAGAACCCTGCCTTCACAAGCCAGGGATGACAGGGCCCGCAGGCCTCGTCACGGGTGGAGGTGCTCTGGCATTGCTCTGATGCGCTAAGTTGACCATGGCTCGGTGGTTGGTGCAGTCCCGCAAGCCAGGCTAGAGGAACTTAACCCCCTGGCGGTCTCAGCAGAGCTGGGTCCTGACGGTCTCCTGTGTGCTGCACAGCTGTTAGCGGCATGGGCGGGCAGCAGCACCAGGAAGTCTCCATCTAGCTTTGCTGGTGGAGTGGCTGGTGGTTGGCTCGATTGAAATGAACCTCAGGTGACCCGCAGCCCTCATATCCCTGGATGGGTGTGGTGAACCAGGAGCCCCTGGGCTGGCCAATGTCCCACAGCTTCTCCCTCCCCTGTGGACGTAGGACCCAGAGAGGCAGCTCAGTCCACGTGGGCGTCACATGGCTGTCTAGGTGTTGACATCCACAGTGATGGTGAACAGTGACTGCTCACTTTGTCCCCAGGGAGCACGAAAGAGAGGGAGAGAGCGCCCAGGGTAGGATGCTTTGACATTCACCCTCAGACGTCACAGTGCCCCAGTGTTCCCCATCCCCCCATCTCCCCACCCTGGCAGGATTGGACACCAGATGGTCAGAGAGGGTGGGCTCTCTCCTGGGCCAGTGACCCTTCTGTGTGCGTCCCCTGTGACTCTGAATCCTGGGGTTGGCTGTGCCTGACGTCCCAGGGGCAGGATCTCCTGGTTCCCTGGGGAACAACGCAGGGCTCACGGAGTGGTGGGGAAGGGATTTTTGACATCATACACATCTTAAAGGCGTTTGTTTCTCAAACTATAGGGGAAAGATCATGAAGTCAGTGCAAATAGAATATTATTATTGCTTGAAACGAGTCTGAACCGAGATGGAAGCCCTGCAGGCTGGGTTAGGCTGCGGCCTCTGCAGGTGGCTTTTCTGGAGCAGGAAGGAACCCCACGCATGCCCACCACTCCTGTGGCCGGTGACATTCGCCAGGGGTTCCCTGCAGCCCAGCAAGCCAGAGACTCAGCCCGGCCTCCCCTCTTGGGCGCCTCGGCCTATGGCTTCCTTCTGTGTGTTGTGCAGGTGGGCCAGTGAGAGCGCCCACCCCACGCTCCTGCCTTCAGATCCCACTTCTTTCGCAGCTGCCAGGGAACTGGCGGTGCCCCCGAGTTTGCTGGGTGACGTCCCACCAAGGGCCGTGACCAGGGAGTTCCAGTTCCCAGAAGAACCCTCTAACTGCATGGCTGTGGGTTCTCCGAGGGCGTCTCGGTCCCTTACACTGTGGGCTCTGATCCAACCTGGGAAGCAAGACTCGTGGCCTTGAGAGCCGGCAGTGCCTTTCACGCAGCTCGCGCCCGCCAACCAGCCTGGCCCTCGGCTCAGCTCGGCTTAAACTTTGGTTGGGATGGATGGCTCCTGGGATGGCGTGTGACGTGGCTGTTTGCTGAGATGCCCCTCCTGCTTTGTGTCCCCCCCCGGGCAGACCAATAGCATGTGCTTCACTATGAAGACGTCGTGTGTGCGACGGCGATACCGGGAGTTCGTGTGGCTGCGGCAGCGGCTGCAGAGCAACGCCCTGCTGGTGTGAGTGACCCAGACGGGTGAGGGGTCTTGGGGCTGTGGCATGTGTGTGGTAAAACCCTTTTTGATGTGAAATCAGAGGCCTTTAGAGATGGGTTTTTCTTTAAAGTTAGCTGGTTGCCTTATTGAATGGCCTTATTGTATAACCATATTATGTGTATACATGTATATATAATAGTTATGTAATAGCTGTGAGATAATTACTGTCATGTATAATTTGCCTCTTGAGTCAATCTTTTTTTAAAAATCCTTTTTTTTTTAACCTTCTCCAAAGGCAAGTGCCAGAACTTCCATCTAAAAACCTGTTTTTCAACATGAACAATCGCCAGCACGTGGACCAGCGCAGGCAGGGGCTGGAAGATTTCCTCCGAAAGTAAGTGCCCCAGCCAGGGCAGCCAGAAGGGGGGTGTGTGTGTGTGTGTGTGTGTGTGTGTGTGTGTGTGTGTGTGTGTGTGTGTGTGTGTGTGTGTGTACGGAGGGGTGGCACAGGCGCCCCAGCAGGTGCACTGCCTGTGTCAGAGCGCCATCTTGTGGCTCCTGCCACGTGGTGCATGTGTGGGAACAGGTCTTGTGAAGGAAAACAGCGCATCAGGGGTTCCTGAAACTAGATTCAAGGCACATACACGGTCTGCTGGGAAACAGACTTGCCTTCTCGCCACAAGGGCACCAGGCAGGAACAGTCCTCATTTACACAATGTGGGATTGGCCAACCCAGATGAGCTTGCCCCGGGGGCTGCCACAGACAAGCGCTTGCGAAAAATTATTGCGTTAACTTTTTAGTTAACCTGCAATGTCTATCTCCACTTCCCCACTCCCGAATGCTGGGATACCCACCTTACGGGAGGCCGACTCAGACCGCCTGGCTCGTGCCCTGGCTCTGCTGCTTATCAGCTGGGGACACAGGCAAGCCTTGGACCTCCTGTGTGCCTTTTATTTTTTCTATGTCTAAAATGGGGTGATAACCCCGTAAGGTTCCCGATAGGCTTCAGATGATGACTGCCGTCTGGGTGTTGGTGCCTCTTTCTGTTTCACTCCTCCCAGACAGGAAGTAGCTCTGAGGTTGTTTGTCTGACTTCCCAGTTCATAAACGAGGAACTAAACATCGAGCTACATAGACGTGCCCGAGTCCAGGCGCTTGAATTCCCATCCTTCTTAGAGCTTTTCCATCCACTGGTTTGCTCCCCAGGTGACCACACATAATAACCCAGGCTGGGCGCCATCGGGCTTGGGTTGCCGTTGAGAGGGCTCCTAGAACCCATGCAGGGCGGTGGTGACTGTCACCTGACCGCTGGGAAGGACTCTGAGGACCCTGTGGGGCTCCTGCATGTAGCACATCTGGCTCAGGGGAGCAGAGAGGCCCTGGCCGTGTGCTGGAGAGATGGCACTGCATGGAACTTGCACAAATGCCTGTCCTGGTGGGGCTTCCGTTTTTTATTTGATTTATTTGAAAGGTAGAGTAGAAGAGAGAGAGATATTTATCCGCTGGTTCCTCAAATGGCCACGGTGGCTGGTTGGGATTGGACGAGGCAGGAGCCAGGAGCCAGGAGCTTCTTCTAGATCTCCCATACGGATGTAGGGGCCCAAACTCTTGGGTCATCCTCCACTGTTTTCCCAGGTGCATGGGAGGGGAACTAGATTGGAAGTGAAACATCCGGGACTTGAACCAGCACCCCATATGGAATGTGGGTGCCACAGATGGCAGCTTGACCTGCTGCACCACAGTGCTGGCTCTGAAGCTTCCATTCTTGCAAGGAAACATGCTGTATGTACCAAGGGCTTTGGCTAGATTCATGACGACTGCATCCCAGAAAGACCTGGTGTTCTCCTGTGGTGTGACTCGTCCCACCACAGGGTGTGAGCGAGTTCTTAACCAAGTGGCTGTATCCAGGCCTGCCCTGCCTGCTGCGGCCCCTGCTCTTTCCACACCGCTGCCGAGAGGTGGCAGCGCAGATGCAGGGCTGAGGTCCACTTGCCCAGAGTGTGGACTGCAGGCTCCCCCAGCCTCGGCCCTGGGGCCCCAGCCAAGTCCTGAGCCTGGCCCTGTGGCCCAGGTGGCTCTGCCAGTTGCCCATCAAGCAGGACCAGCTGTCCACTGCTTCACCTGACTTTTTGAGGGCCTCAGGAAATTACAGCATCGTGGTGATAAGAGGCTTACGTCAGAACTTTGTAGTATGGATTTGTGAAATCTGGCTTTTATGTTTGTTTTGTGCCAGAGGCACTGTAGAAGTGAAGCCAAGATGTCCCTGTGTGTGTGTGTGTGTGTGTGTGTGTGTGTGTGTATTCTGGTTGTGCATTTCATTTTTAGGTCATATACGAAACAATACATATTTAATAATGAAGTATACATCCAGGTGGAATTTCATAGAAAAATGATAAAATTGACCAGATGCCATTGATTGAATAGCTGTCACACGTGGCATTTTGTATGTCTTGTTCTAATACTTAATATAGTCTTAGAAGTTGGGTATTACCTCAGCCTTATTTTTTTTTTAAGGTTTTGTTTATTTTAAAGGTAGAGTTACAAAGAGAAGAGAGACAGAGAGAGAGAGAGATCTTCCATCTGATGGTTCACACCCCGAATGGCTACCAGTGGCTAGGCTGTGCCAGGCTGAGGCCAAGAGCGAGGAGCCTCCTTTGGGCCTCACACTTGGGCGCAGGGACCCCCAAACACTTGAGCCATCTTCCACTGCCCTCTCAGACACTGCCATATGGAGGTGGGTCAGAAGTGGAGCAGCCAGGGCTTGAACTGGTGTCCATAAGGGAAGCCGGCACTGCAGGCAGCGCCTTAAGTGCCATTTCCATTTCAGCTTAGTTTTACAGATAAAGCAATCGTGGGAAAGGCAGAGGCACTGCATGCAACAGAGACTTTACAGTTAGCAGAACTCTAAGTCTAGCTAAATGTAAGCAGTACGCTTCCAAATACATCCACTTTCTTCTTCCGTCTTAGGTTTCATCCTCCTCGTGTATTCTTTCTCTAATTATCAAGTGAAAGTCGTTTCTAATGTTGCTGGAAGCAAGCTGCACGCGCAGTTCTGCCCCTGGTGGCGCCACCGGGATAGGGGGCCGGCCCATTGCCGTGACTCTGACGTTGTAGCTTGGTGCTCCTTAACAGTTTAAAGGATGTTACAGCTTTTCTTTTTCACAGATAGCTACTACCACCGGGACACTACAGCTGGCCACATCCACCCCCACCTCCCACACCTGCCTACAGACACAGACACACTGTGCACACACACACACAGACACACACACACACACCTTTGATGCTCTTGCATTCAATAGAGGGCACCACAGCCCAGATCATGAATGTTTTCACTAAGATGTATGTTTCTCATGGCGAAGAGATGAACAGGTTGTGTGAAATTCTTTTCCTTCATGTCTGTGCAGCTGCTAACTTCCCACGCACTGTACAGATGTGTGCACCTCGCTGTGCCGGACTCAGTAAGGCCGGAACATGCTTAGCAGGGATTAAGTAATCCTTCATCTCCTAGAACATCCTCAACGGAGCCTGTCATGTTTACATATATGCATGCTTGTATCTATAGCTAGATTTCTATTTAAATATATACAGGTTCAGTTGAGCGGGGGATAGGATATAACATAGTAATGCTTGTATGGATTCAATTAAGGATATTCTAGGATAGCAAGATTATTAATGTGTATAATACAACATATATATATATATATATACAGGTTCAGATGAGAGTATTGTAGGATACGCAGAATTGTTGGATATATATTGTGTGTATATTATATATATATATATAAAAGCAATGAAATCATGTTGAGGAAAACCAGATCTTCAGCTGTGTTTGATTCAGGGGAAAAAACAAGAACCTGGTTTTGACCCTGTTGTTTCAGTCTGTCATGGGAAAAGGGAGCCCTTCAACCGGTGCTGTAATTTCTTTTCAAAAATTCCTTTAAAATTCCAAGGCGCTATATTTTGCTCCTTCTGAAAAGGCTTGAAAACCACATATATTCCTTTTTTTTTAATAGAAGCTTCTAAAAGTGACATTTTTATTGACTATTCTACAAAGTACCTTTTATATTAAATTTCAACTTGATGTGCCGCTATTCGATTTGTTTGTGGAAAATATGGCCCAGAGATGACGAAGGAAAAAAAAATTGCATTTAAACCTTACTGGAGGCGGTAATCACACGCCCCCTAATGGACAAGACACCCCAGCTAGGCTCGAGACACGCTGTAATCCACAGGGACGCACATTTAAAATTTCCAGATGAAATACCTGGCTGCAAAATAGAAAGCATAAATACATTCGAATCGCCGTGAGTTTTTGTCAGACTCATGTCCGTGCAGTACGGTGGGGCACAGTGAGCGGGCGAGAGAGAAAGGAGGGGAGGACTGAGTTGCGGGGAGCCTGAGCCTGGCCCTGCCACTCCTCCCTCCCTCCCTCCTAGCTGTCAGTTGGGTGTGCTCCCGGTGTCCTCCCCTCCGTGTCCTCCAGATGGCAGCGTTGAGCAGAAAACACCAGGAAAGAATGAGTCGCATCCAGGCGCAGTAAAATTGGAAATTGAATTATAGCTGGAGAAAAAAAAGGACAGTCGCCTTGAGATCCCGATCGCTCTGGACTCGGATCACTCGTGTTTGCTGTACCCATGTGTTGGGTTACCAGCAAGTTAATAACCGTGCGCCAGTTGTTCCAGGCTCAGCAGAATTGTTTCAGACGTGAAATAAAGCTAAAATGAATTTGTGTCCAATATCATTGGCATTAGTGCTCATTACTTTTGTGGGGGCAATGCCTCAAACCATCTAAAATCAATTTGAAAGATTACCCATTATTTTATAAAGAGAATAAAACACATTTCCAACAGAAATAAAGCAGCGAGTACTGTGCCAGGAACAGTGACTTGTCAGGGAGAGACCCGCAGGAAACTCCTGCTGAAGCCACAGGAGACGTGCGGCCGAGCCGGCTCCGGCTCCCAGGGGGCCCCTGCCGCGGCGTGTGACTCTGGTGTTAATCTGAAGTATTTAGAACAAGAATGGTAAACATTTATAAAGGTAGAAGAGACATCTCAGAGAGTAGTAAAAGGAATCCTCTGCTGGGCTGGCTCCCTGTCCGGGGGCATTCCATCCTTCTCCCTGTGGCATGGTCACGCTCTGGGGTAGCTGGGGCAGGGGACGTGAGGGTGGAAGACAGCGTGTCTTGGCCATCCCTGTTAGAAAATTGGACCCGTCCCCCTTCGGAAGCAGGAAAAGAGCAGGTGTGGAAAACAGGAACTCCGGGTTCTGCTTCTGTGCGTGTTTAGACGACTTGCCTCTTGGCAGGACAGAGCTGTTTAACTTGGAAGAATAAGGGCTTGTTTGCTAACGACCTTGGGTTTTTTTTTTTTTAAACTGCATTAATATGAATGGCCAAAGGAGATTTTTTTTTCCCAGTGACTTATTTAAATATGCAGAACTTAGGGTTCATTTGGCCTGCAGTGCATGACTGGTTTTGTTTGTTTGTTCGTTTGTTTTGTTTTGTTTCAGAGCTCTCCTGTAGGGGTGGGGGGCCTCCCATGTGGAACAGTGTTCCCCTGTTGTCCTGCACATCTGGGCTTAATGTCTTGAGTTGTATCAAGACTGAACTCTTGATCGACTACACATCTGAGTGTCAAAATGTTCACATTCTTTGACTTGGTTTCCGACTTTCAGACCCGCCCGGCAGACAGAACACACGCTTGTGGAGGTGCCGCGTGGGCAGCTGCCCCTCCTGTGTGCCACGCCGTGTGGCTGTGGCTGGAGCCGTTTGTAAACTTGGATTTTATGAATGTGGGAACACCAGCGTACCCTTGCTGCAAAAGCCATATTTCAAATCAGATTCCTTTCATTTGGTTGCTTGTTTTGACAGTACCATGATCCAGAGGCAATCAGGATTCCAGAGGAAAGGTTGCAGAAAAGAAAACTCACCTCTCAAAATGAGCTCCTGCAAACTTGAACTGACAAAGTTGCTCAGCTTCCAAAATGAAAGACGCACTGTGCAGTGCGTCAGCTCCTTCTTCTAACGTTTAATAGTAGTTGAAAGTTTTGATGTTTTCCTGACAGCCTGTGCAGTGAAGATCACTGGGTTGACATGCTGTCGGCAGCAGGAAGCTTTTTTTTTTTAAAGTGGCGTACATTTCTGGGCCCACCTGATCAAAATATTTGTGTAATTAATCCACATGGTCATAGCAGATGCTTAAAGCAAAGAAGTGTCCTTGAAGGTCTTGCTGGCGCAGATGTCTCCCACGATCAATGTTTCTGCTTACTCACATTTCCGAATGAAATACTCTGAGTTAACATAGGGTTGCACACCCCTAGAGGGGAGGTGCCCGGGAGTGGACGCGAGGTGGATCCCGGGAGAAGAAGGCCTGGAGTGGCACGTGGCGCCCACCCCCACGCTCCGGAACACTGGGTGCGTGCGTGTGTGTGTGTGTGTGTGTGTGCATGCACACGGCCGCTGACCCTGCCCGCTTGTTCTCTCACACCCAGGGTCCTGCAGAACGCGCTGCTGTTATCCGACAGCAGCCTCCACCTCTTCCTGCAGAGCCACCTCACCTCGGAGGACATCGAGGCCTGCGTGTCCGGGCAGACCAAGTACTCGGTGGAGGAGGCCATCCACAGGTTCGCCCTGATGAACAGGCGCTTCCCCGAGGAAGACGAGAAAGACAAGAGAGACCACGAGGCGGATTACGACTCGGAGAGGTGGGGGTCCCCGCGCGCCCAGGCTCCCACACACGTGTGTGTGTACAGACCCTCACACTCACTTCCCTTCCGTGTTGATGCAATCCTCAGATAATGAAAAAATTAATTGACTGAGATTTTATTGAGCTGTGACAGCTCATCATCGCAGTCTTCACACACACCTCCACACTGAATTAATGAATGCAGTCGGAATTCAATTATCTGCATTCTGATTATGTGACTTTCATTTAGTCAGACTTGAATTATTCGCGTTTAAATTATCTAGCTAAAAAAAAAATATCCAACCGCACTCCAAATGGCTAATTAAAAGTCCAAATTTCCTGTCTCTCTTTGTGACTGGAGATAATTAAAGTTCTCCTCTGTTACTCAGGCTTTGAGTGTGTTGTGAAAACCAATTTCCTCTTTTTATTATTTTTCCCCCCTCTCCCAGTTCGTCCTCCGGGCTTGGACACAGCAGTGATGACAGCAGCGCACAGGGCTGCAAAGGAAGCACCGATGGCCAGGAATCCTGAAGAGGGGCGGTGGCGACGTGACCGGCCGAGGGAGAGCAGATCGTGTCATTTCTGAGAGAGAAGAAAGCTTGTTAATAACACGTTCTTTACCAGGAGCTCACTGCCGCCACGCGGAGCTCTCCAAAGTCTTAGGGGCGGTGGCTGGGTCGCTTGTTAGCGGTTTGTTCTTTCTGTGTCGTCTCATCTCAAGCCAAGCTTTCATGAAAAGCTCCAAGCCTGTGAATGTGAAATTACCCTTTCCAGCCAAAACCCTCCCCGGCAAGCGGGATGCTGCCCTGAAGTGAAGCGAGTTAACATACACATTGAAAATGACCTCGTGGGTTTTATGGACTCGAGAGATGGGTCAACAACACAGGGTTAGGGTTAGGATAAGCAGGATGGGATGGGGGGGGGGGGCAGGCAGCATACTCTGCCGAGGGGTTTGATGGTATCCCCATCACCCCAGAGGGCAGCATCGGGGGACCCCACGGCCCCCTGACACAGGTGGGGGAGCCTCTCTGACAGCAGCAGGACACGTCCCTTTTGGACGTCGGAGAGAACTAGTTACACGTTCTGGAACCTTTGTAGTATTCTGTTTCCCACTGAAATGGAAAAATGGTCCCTATGAAGACACTTATTAAAATCATGTTTACACGGTAGGAAAAAAAAAAAAACAAATAATGCTGGTCATTGTCCTCACATTTGCCTCCTACACACTCAGAAGTACCATCTCCCTGTCCCCAATCAGCTGAAATAAACGGTTTCTGGAAACCAATCATTTGTTTTCATTATCATCGTGCAATTAGAGTTGCAGGTTAATGACTTACTTTCTGACACAATGTGCAATTTCTTATCACTAGATAACTCAGGATCAGTAGTAGTTGCTTATTACTTACAGGAAGAGTCTTACAAAAATTAATAAATTCAGTTTTCTCAGTAAGTAATGCAAAAACATTTTTAGAAAAGGAGACCAGCTTGCTCATTTCAGCTCCCTTCTTTTTTGATGTACTCCTGAACTGTGACCTCTTTTGGATAAAATGTTCCCCTCCCCTCCACCTTTTTTTTTTTTTTCTAGTGGCCCAAAGATAAGATGTCTTAGATAAACAACTTTGAACTTCACATTTCGGCTGAGGCAGCGTTTCTTGGGTAATTCTTGAAGTCCCTTCTGTGTCCAAAGGCACAAGTCGTCTCTGTGAGACTAGCAGGATGAGGTGTTTGTAAAACTGGGGTGCTGTGCTTTAATTACCCAGCCAGAGTTTTGCAGAGGTTGCTATATCAAGAACAGCTATTTTATTTAAAGAGGAGATTCAGAACTCTTGTATCATTAAAGTCTTTGAGACGAGTGTTTGGAAAAGCCAGTAGACATACCACAGAAAGCTAAGAAGCAACAGCAAAAAAAGATGTACATTTCTAATGCCATCTTTAACTTTTCCATTTTGGTTTGCTCTAAAGCATTACACTTTATGCTACTATTTTAATGTGTTATTTTATCATCTGAGGTTAGTCATTTTAATACAAGGAAACAACAACAACAAAAAAGATTGAGCAATTCCTGCGGCTCAGGAGGTTCGCCACGTGGGCCTCCCAGAGCTGTGCCCTGCCTCTGAGTGTTTGAACTCACAGCATTTCTGTTCCACAGCAGCTTTGAAAGGCCTGCTTGTGCCACCCGCCCCGTCATGTGCAGATGATAGAACACGGCAGCAAAATGAATAGGAAGCATTGCCTGATGTTTGCTTGGCGTGCAGACCCCACGAGATCCCAGTTGTCACGTTAAACACAACCTCCAAACCCTGAGTTATATGGTAGGATCACTTACTTTAAACGTACATTTCTTCTGGCGTCTTATGGTGCTTGTTTCTGTGAAGCACCTTGGTACTTGGTCTAACAGTTGCCACCTGTGTGCCCATCCGAGCCTGGCCGCAGCCATCTCCCTGGGCTGCCAGCTTCTTGGCAGCTGGAGTGTGCAGGTCAACTTCAGCTGCCAATAGGTTTGCTGGCTTAGATCTCCTACCCTGCTGCAGTACACTACCTACAATGCCACCATCACTACTTTTCCTGTGACCTGGGTTTGAAGAGTGATAGTCCCGGATGCTTTCTGAATTCTAGAGGGCTGACTGCTGTTCCAGGGGCCCACAGTCAGCCCTGGAAGCCAGCCTGGGGTGCAGAGTCAGCCTTGAAAAGGCAGCAACTTGTTACTTCAGAGTCTGGCTTTGCTGTCTAGATACAATCGCAACTGGTAAATATCACCAGGAAAAACAAAACAAAACAAAACTCCAAAGGTTTAATTGGTCCCTTCAGACACCAAACACCTTGCCTGAGCTTTTCAAACCTTGTTCCTGTTTCATTGAGTGCTCAAACACAGACAAGGGATACGCAAAATGAAGTAAAATCAAACTTTTATATATATAGCGTAAGAATGTGAACAAATCCATTTAGTTTAACCATAGTTACTGTTGTAGACAATAGCAATTTGGATATAGTTTTAATGCTTTTTTGATGTCTTAAGAATTTTTCATTATTGAACCTATGTCTTACAAATAAAGGTTCTTAGGAGTACAGCTATGAGAGAAGACCCTTTCCCAGGAAAACCTCCCAGAGTTTAAGACAAAGGTAACATTAGCTTATTCCGTTTCTGAGCAGTCTTTCTCCAAACCTTGTGCCAACTGCTATCCTTACAAACACAACGTGGCATCCTTTCAACACATACACAGAACGACGTATTCCAACACGGTTTTGTCTGGAATATAGATGCGTTCTTAGTTTGTTATAAACCATCGTCACATATAAAATACTGTGAAATAGGCTGGTACGCTCTGGCAGAAGCACGCCGCGCTGTTTTTCTTCACAAATAAAGATCGCTAAGAGATGGATGCGATTTTTGTTGTTGTTTCAGTGGAGTTGAAGATTTTAAAGGCTGTCAGCAAGCAGCAGTGCCTTTGACATTTGCCACCTTTACAAAGCCGTTTGGCTCAGTTTCTCACGCGCATGTCACCATTGTCCCTCTACGTCATACCCAATGGCTCTTAAAAACAGTGCATCGGACACTCATTTATTTTTAGCTGCACAAACTTTGATACTTAACGAGTCTTTCTCCAAAATTCCAAAAAGAAAGGGAATATATATATATTCCCTTTCATATACATATATATATATATATAAAGCTACCATTTTCTGCTGAACTGAAACCTCCGATCTAAAGACAGGATGCAAATGGCTTATGGCAGAAGAGGAAAATACCCCCGCACCGTTCGTTTGGGCTGCCAGACTGCATAGCACGGACACGACTAGTGGTGGTGGTTAATTAATTTATTTTTTGCTCGCTTCTTACCTCGGGCCTTCTTTAATAGCCTTGCCCCCACCCCGCCCGCAGGCGGCGGCGCTCCCGCGGCTGCACCCCGGGGCCACCGCCGGTTGGCTGCGGCGCCTCCCCGGCTCCCGCACCGCGTCCGCACGCGCGCCCCTCCCGCCCGTGGCTGCAGCGGCGGCGGCGACTGGGTGGCAGGTAGCGAGCCAACCGGCCTCGGTCCGGTAACCCATGGCAACCGCCCCGGTAACCCATAGCAACTGCGCGGCGGAGAGGGAAGGAGGAAAAAAAAAAAAAAAAAAAGAACGATGGAGGGGGCGGCGGGCGCCACCGGCACAGAAAGCCGGCGGTTCCCGACGCGGCCCCACCTGTGATTGCGGGCCCCAAGGCGCCCAGCCAGCGTCACGGTGACCACTCGGAGGAGAAAAATAAAATAATCTCGCCAGCGGGGGCAACTTGAGTGGTGCGGGTCGGTGACCCCAGCCCCCGGATCTCCCGCGGCCCCTCCGAGCTTAGGAGCTGCCGTGGAGCCGGGACCTCGCTGCGCCAGGGCTGCGTCACGGCCGCCCGACTCGCGCCCTCCGTGGCGCTGCCCCACATCGGGGCCCAGACCTCAGGCTTTGTTCTGCAGAGGCGGCTGGCTCGGCGCTGCGGACCCCAGTGCCCTCCTGCCTGGCCGGCCACGCCGCGCGAGACCGAGGGTGGCCGAGGCCTGCACGGCCCCCGCGAACGCCTGGGGCAGGTGTCCCTGCGCACACGCCCCGCGCGCTGCTCGCTCTCCCCAGCTCTTTCTGTGTATCCTCTCCTGGGGATCTGAAACCCTCCCAGCAGGTTCTCTATCGCGTGAACCCGCACCCCGCCTGGGTCAGTGTGTGTGTGTGTGTGTGTGTGTGTGTGTGTGTGTGTGTGTGTGTGTGTGTGTGTAGTGGGGAGTCTCGTCCATCAGGCTGGGGGTCAGCATCTATGTGTGTGTGAGTCTGAGGGCGCAGAGGCCGAGCCAGGCCGAGTGCCAGGACGCTGGTGGACAGAGGGCGGCGCTGCGGGTCCGGCGCTGCACACCCGCGGGCTTGGCTCGCTCTGGAGAGTGATCTACAAGGCAGGCTGGCAGGCAGAAAGAACCCGCTCCTCCTGCATCTGAGGGAGGGAGGGCCGGCTACCTGGGTCGTGGGTTTGCGGAGGTCGCAGCCCCCCGTTAGGGAGACCCAGCACGCGCAGCCGGGACTGGGAGCCTTAGGGACAAAGTACCTGGTGCTAGCAAGGGCACAAAGAAAGGTCGTGGGGATGCACAGAGGCTGCAGTGGGAGTCCACGGACGGCAGTGTCCAGCCGCACCATGTAGTCAGCTTGCGGTACCACGCTTCCAAGGAAAGAGATTTGGTTGGGACGATTTGGGGGTCCTCAGGTCTCCCCCTCCATTCCGTCCCTGCCAGTGTGCACATTTACAAATCCAATTAGCACAGCCGTCAGGGATGGTCGTTTTCAAAGGCCAAGACTCACACGGAGTTTGGGATGCACAGTGGCGTAGCACACACTCCTGAAAAAAGGCTGGGTCTTTCACGAGGTGGGGGAGCGGGCAGGCAAGGGTCCTTGGCTGTGCAGGGTCCCATGCTGAGCCCCTGGGTGTACATTCCTGCTGTCTGTCCGTCTTAGTGGGGAAGGCATGATCGTACGACCAGAGAACACACACCGGGTGCTGCTGCCCGCTCAGCGCAGGTGCTTAGCAGTGGGGGAGTGCCCCCTTAGCCTGGAATCTAAGCAGCCCATTCCCAGCCCTTGGCACAGCCACAACCCCGGGCAGGTGGGGGTGGAGGGAAGGCGGGGAGTGCACCCTGGGCTTTCATTTAATTTTATTATTTTTTTTTAACAAAAGCAATTACAGAAAAGTGCAAATTTAATGTGTGACATTTAACGTTTTGCCGTGGCAGGCAGCCTGCACGCAAATGGGGCTTTTCTGTGAAACAAGAGGAGCCAAAAGGCCTCGTGTCGCCTAGTGATGTAAGACAATCTGGGCTGCGGACGCACAATGAATCGGGAAGGATTTATGTAATTAATTGACCAGTCTTAACCTGTTATCGTGATGTAAGGAATTTGGAACTCATTAATTTGGGCCCTGACAGATTTCATATTAGGGCTGGCAAATATGGATTGAGCCTCTTATTCTTGTAGCAGCTGGAATTTCCATGACAGCGAGGATTAGTGAAGAAGACCTATTGCCCAAGTCAAGCTGCCTTTTTTTGTAATCAGTAGCCCCTGCTCTGCATTAAAGGAGTAGTGGGGGGGGGGAGCAGGGAGAAAGGAGGTGTCGTACCCGGCGGAGGGAGCCTGAGGCACCGTGCTCACCCTGGTTAACACACGGGTCGAGCTTGAGCATGTGCAGTGGGACGCAAACTTTCCACCAAGTCGGGTGACACTTCAACACCTGGGGACAAGAGCAGGTGGGAGGTTCCCAGGGGCAGGTGTGGCA